GAATAAGAATACGTCAAAATATTATGGTATGTTCATATAAATATTTTCTAGTACAGCCATCTGAAAAATTCAATGCGCAATGAACAAGCAAACGATTGTACTCATACAGATGACGGGTTGTTTTCGACAACGGAGTAAGGATTACTTAACGGGTGCTATTATTTGACCTATTTCTCGGATTTCCATGTTCACTTTACAAGTTCCACTTCCTTATTTGACGCATTTACTTCGCAAATGCCATTTTTCAAAGCAGTGCAGACATATTCCTATGATTAATCCCTCAAATTCTGTGCAAAGAACAGAAGACTTGTAGAATAAATCATGCCATGCCAGAACTAAAACCCCAACCGAACAGTGAGATGATGAAACGGTGTCTGCATCAGTGACCGCTGGCTCGACCGGTGGAACGTAATCGTCATCATCGCCACCTTCTGATGAGTGTGCTCTTTTTCGTTTACGGGCCGGTGTTTTACGTGTTGGCATTCTCGATGTTCTTCCACTCTGAGATAACGTAAATCATATAATTAGATAATAGATACTAGCGTAATCATAGCCTGACTCAGGCTCACAATATTAATGATTTTGGTAAATGATATTGGTTAATCATGTTGGTTTCTCGGAACCGAGTTGTGTACCAATATCATAACGTAAATCAATTCAAATATCATCACAATAACGCACGTTTTTCCAAAGTTTCAATATAAAATTCTGCAATACTACAACATTTGGTGATGAACCAACAATAGTCGAGAATTTTTACACAATAACAAAATGATACAAAAAAATTTATTGTTTCGTTTCGAGAAGATTTGTTCGAACAAATTTTGCGACTGAATAATAAATATGAATAATACAGATAAGAAATATGAAATTCATTCAATACTCTCTGTTTTTGAGACGAATTAACATAAATTGAGACCGTTTTTCTTCTCATATCACAACAATTTCGATTAAAATTTTTCAGAGTGTGCTGTACAATCGAGAATGGAATACGTTATTAGTAAACAGTAATACTGAGAACAATAATGATAACAATAATAATAATTATGATTATGACAATGTCAACGACAACAATAATACTATTAATAAAAATAGCAATGACATGATAATTTACATGAACACTCCGTAATGAACTCGAAATATAAGCTGAAACTTCAGTAAACTCAGGAAACCCCAACGAAGTTAAAAATATCCAATGAATTAAGATTGAATTGCACCATATTATTACATTTGCTAAAGTACCCATCATAATTTTTTTCACGACGTCAAAAATATCCTAATTACGTTATAATTTTTCAACTTCCAATGAATTTGCTTCATTGAGGAAAAAATCAACGAACGATTACTGTAATCTCTCACAATTACTCCAAATTGCAAACGATTCTGCACATATCACAAATAATTGCAATTTTTCAACAAGCACAATACGATTAAGAACGATGAGGAAAAAATTACAAAATACTTTTCGAAATAAATTTTTAAAACTGAGCAACGTTTTTGCACAATCAAATCAATGAATTTCTCTCTTTCTCAACCATTGGAAGGACGAGAAATGGAAATGAAATCAAAAAAGAAATGAGAAATAATTTAGGTTTTGTGGAAGCAATCAATCGAGACAAATCGGCAACAGAAAACAAAATGTGACTAACCAAAAAACTGAAAAATCATATGAGAGAATTGAATTTTCACTCCTGAAACAATTGATATTTTAGGCAATCTCGCAAAAGTTTTCCTTATTTACACAAAAAATGTCACTGCTGCTAACAATATCTCTCATCGCTACGATGATACACAAACGATCACTGAAATGCGTAAATTCAACCGTAAGACGAAATAAGTGATAGATTATGAGAACTTGATGTTATACACCGAAATTCTTTCATGTTTATGGTACAATGAGAAGCGATTAAGCAAAAATTATTTTACAGAATATTGTCAAACAAAACAATGTCAACAATAATAATAATAATACCAAAAACAATAATAACAAATGAACAAAACGAATAAATAAGCTAACAGAGCCGAAGGAAACAAATCTTCCAAAATGAACCACAAGAGAGTTTAGCACCAC